AACCTAACCCTATTATTTTCAGGTAGAAGAAACAACAACATTTATTTTGATTCCATTTATTTATTATAATAAATTACAATATTTTTAAGAATAATTTATTGCAAAAATTGTACAAAGTAAACAATAGAGAACTAATACAAACTAACATTTTATACTAATTCCTCTGTTGTAGTTTTTTACCTAATGTTTTAAAAGCATCGTTCATAATTTTCACAAAATCTTTACAATAACTGGAGCTTTTATCAGTTTTCATAACTTTGCTTGCTTTGTTTAATTTATCGAAATTCATTTTTGTCACTTGTATTTAAACTGTCAAATTTTCACTACAATGATTAACTCCGATCAGCCTAAAATTGAACTTTTAACTATAGCGATTTTTTTAAAACGAGATGATTAAGCGCACTTTAATTTCACTATGCTTTGCTAATATGTTCATCAGCCAACTAAAACTGCAAGAATGATTTCGTTTAGAAAAATTGTCCGCTTTATATACACAATATATGACCTATTTGTCCTTGAAGTTAATTATAGATTTCGTAGAATTGCGGTAAGTTAAAAGCATATTCATAAAAAATAACATAAATAAAACATAAAACGCCTGCCAAACTATCGAAATACCATTTACTGCAAAAGAGAGAGAACCTCGGAGAGAACCCTTAAGACTAAATACGTTTTCGTTCTGAAACCAAGATGATACTCAAATTCAAAGAAGTGACAACATTGGAAAAAAGAAAAATATTTGACAACATTGCTTTTTCAATTTTTCGAGGTGTAAAAAAATTCATTGATTCAAAGAACCCTTGCAAAAAAAATTCCTTATATTTCATCTTCGACGAGCCAGGTAGTTCCAAGCGAGTCCAGGTCTGTGTTAAATTACTTCCATATAATATCGGTCCAATTTCAACCATTGTAATTGTAAAGAGCCATAAAACTTTCTAACTTACTTACTTAGGAGGATAGTGATGCTTACCGATAGGAAAAGATTGTTTGTATAAATATATAAATTTAATTTCTAAAACATTTTGTTGCTATTGATACAAAGTCATTCATTCATCAGTAAATAAACGTTAGTTAGAATAAATTGTTATCTCTTATAGGTGGAAAATCAGTTGTTTACGAGGATTGAAATTTAAAAATTATTGTTAACTTTTTATATTATTTAATTAATATTACTTTTTAATAATATCACTCAGTAATAATTATTTCTCAAAATTTGAAATAGGTGGATTCCACGTTAGTTCAACACACTTATTTTCATGACTTGTTGAAATTTGGCTGTACTTTTGTAAATTTATTACTTTTATAGTAATAAACAACTCCACCAAATATTTTTTCAAAATTTTGAAAATTACCAAAAATATGGCATTTTCAAAATTTTTGTCTTTTTTTTAAAAGTGCTATAACTTCGGTTCTAATTAACCGATTTTGGATTTTAAAAAAAGGATTTCTTTGGTTTTAAGTATATTTTAAGTTAAAATTAATATAAAAAAAATTTTTTTAAATTGTTTTTTAAAATTTTTAAAAATTAAAAATTCGTTTTTGAAAAAACATCATCTTCGATTTTTTTAAAAATTTTACTAAATGTTAGGGCAAATGTGCTTTACATGTCCTGTAAGTTTCATCTTGGGATCTCAAAGGGATATTCGGAGTAAAAAAATAAAACGTAACCACAAATTACGAACATATGGGGCAAAATTCCTCAACTGCCCAGGTAAAACAATGAATTTTCTCTAAACTTTGCAAAAATGTTACTTTTATTAGTAGAAGTGTAAATATTATTTTTTTTTAATTTGATAAAATATTTTTTGACTTATGGAGTTTCAAAATTTTGATTTTTTTGAAAATATATTTTTTTTGATTTAATATATTTATAAGTAAAATTAATCAAATTTAAAGTATGAATAGTGATTTTTAAAGGGGTTTTCACGGGCTATAAACTGGTGATGAAAAAATGTTGTTTTCTGTCAATTTGACCTTGAAATTCAAGGTCAAATTCTTAATTTTAATATACAGTAGATTTAGTAAAAATTTGATTCGGATAATTGATAGCTTCTTTCTTCTTAATATTTAACTGCCGAATGATAAATTCACTTTCTATAATTATAATTGCCTATGAATTGAAATACTAGGCTTACCATCTTTAAGAAACTTCCTGCGTTATCATTAAAATAACGTAGGAAGGGATAGTATATGTCAAAGAATTCGGAGAATCTCGGGGTGCATGTAGCTCAGTGGTCAGAGCAGTCTACCGGCAATAGAAAGGTCGTGGGCTCGTATCCCACCATGCTACCGTTTTTTTCTGGATTCTTTGATAATTTTGAAATTATTAATTAATTTCGAAAATATTTTTTAGATTAAGCAGGTTTCTGTATTCGGTCAGCTGTGCTGTCGATACATATGAAATCTAAGAGCTTATAGAGATTTATTTAAGATATTCAATTTATTTAGTAAAAATTTGATTCGGATAATTGATAGCTTCTTTCTTCTTAATATTTAACTGCCGAATGATAAATTCACTTTCTATAATTAAATAAATATATTTGATAAATTTCTATCAAATTTTTAAACAATATAAAAATTGGATAAAATAGAAATTTTGTTCAATTAATTTTTGGCCAAGTGAAATTTATGTAATATATACAAATTTCTTTAATAGAATTTCTTTTAAATAACACAGGCACCCAACAAAATAAAAATTCCGTGACCCAGAGGACTGACCTTCATATTTCTACGTTTTTGGTGTCTGAAAACTAATAAAAATAACAAAATTGCAGTATAGAATAATAAGGAGCCTAAAAATTAGTATAACTTTGAGTAGTATATAGGATTTGATTGACATTTTTTTTTGATTGACTTTTTGATGGTTGAAATTTGATAGAAAATTAATAAAACCAATATCATAGAAAAGTATAAGAATTTCGAAAGGATAGAATTTGATTAACATTCTATACTAATCATCTGATAGGAATGTATAAAATTTTTTTAAGGATAGAATTGGATAGGATGATAATAAATTCAATAGGAAAGAATAGTATAAGAATTTAGAGTGAATAGGATTTGATTAACATTCTATACTAATCTTCTGATAGGAATGTATAAAATTTTTTGAAGGATTAAATTGGATAGGATGATAATAAATTTAATACGAAAGAATAGTATAAGAATTTCGAGTGGATAGGATTTGATTGAACTTTAATCTATTTATTTGATTAAAATTTATTAGAATTCTAGTTTGATAGATTTTGATTGTATTTCAATCGGACGTTCTTGATAATAAAGTATTTCAATTTCATGTAGTATTGTATTTGATTCTAATTTTATCCAAATGTTTGATTTAGTTTGATTAAAATTCGCACATAGTATTCAAAATGATTGGAATTTTTGTATTTGATTAATTTTGATTAAAATTCCAATTTCTGTCTAATAGAAATGTTATCAAATCCTATACATTTTAATAATTTTTTAAGCAGGGTAATTTTGGTCAATTCATTTTGTCTATTACTGATAAATATTTATTGGTTAAAGATATTTACAAGAAACTAAAAAAATGTGAAAGTTAAACATATCAAACAGCAACACTTATAATCACACACTGCAAAACACACGCTTCTAATCTAATGACGCGACGCCATGGTCGCCATGACACTCAACAGCTGGGTAGGTCGACGCCTGCGCGTGTAAGATTATATGAGTACATAGATATAAAATTTTATTTCTTCTTGTTTAAAGGGAAAAATATACCTACTGGATTTTCAGTAATTAATCTAGGAATTCATGCATTATTTGTTTAGAATGTAGTTAGAATAAATATTTGAATAATTGAATATATTATCTACCAAAAAAGTAACTAAAAAATCGTACACTTTAAGCTGAGTTTATAAATATATTTATTTTCCACTTTCGTTAATTTAATGCAACAAATATTTAAACATACTCTTTCTAATTTAAATGCGTTAAATATAATTTCACAGCTCTTTGACACACACTCTTTGACACTTGGAACGATTGTATTTCGTTTCCTGCGCATGCACTGACATATCCCAGGCGGGATATCCCACACGGGATGACCCACGAAAGAAAACTTTGCATATCCCGTAGATATCCCAGGGATATCCAGTGGATGTCCTTGAGATATCCAAATTTCCGTCCCGTGAGATATCTCATGGGATCTCCCTGAGATATTTTAGGGATATCACGGGATGGAAATGGGATAATCGCGGGATATCCCGTGCTGTGAGGGATCATTTTCTGAAGAAAATAAACCATCATTGACTTAAATCGAATCAGATTTGAAAAAGTTTAACCTTTTAATATGAAGAAAACTTTGATCATATGCAAAATGACTAAATAAACAATTTTTGTAAGTTTCAAATTTTTTTCTTGAAAATTGATATTTGTTCTTCCAGAAGATACGAATAACAATTATATTAAAAAATTCTTTAATGTCAATTCAATATTTTTTCTGAAGGTCTGCATACCTGTAAACAACCTCCTTAATTTGTGTACCCCGTCTTGCCCCACTCTCTCCTGCCCCATCTTGCCCCCACCTACGAAATTGAAGTTTAGGTTAATTACTACAATTTACGATTCAACAAAGAAAAAAAACATATGCTTCCCTTCTTCTGTAACTCTTGCAAGTTAGAAAAAAGTTTATACAGTTCATTAACTGTTATTATTAAATAATAAACACCTCATAAAAAAAGTGAAAAAATGACGAGAAAATCGTCGAAAACAGTTTTTTTAGTAAAACAGATAAAAGATTTGTTCTCATGACTTTTATGTTTTGTAATCAAGAAACTATCGTCTCGGTGCAGTATTATGTAAAATATCTTGCCCCACTCTCCCCTAATTTTAATTTCTTGCTACAAGGTTTTTTACTTCTTGTTACAAATTCGTAATATAGGGAAAAATTCCTATCAAAATTACCATCGTTTACACTTATATCAAATGTTTGCCGATCAGTGTTATTTAAAAAAATTTAAATGTACTTTATATTTCAGCAATCATCGCCCGATAGACAAATAAGAAGTACTTTTGGCTGGGCAAGAATTGACATTGTAATAATGTTAGTATGCTGTGTTCTTGTTGCTTCATTCTGTTTCTCTATAATAATTGAAGCAGTTCAAAAATTAATCCACATTGATCACTTAGATGCAATGCATCATCCAATTCCAATAATGATCATAGGTTTCGTTGGGATTATACTACATATACTTTATTACATTTTTATTGGTGAATATTCGTTTAATCAAGGAATATATTTACAATTTTCAAAAGCTGGTTTGATTTTACCCAGGTGTGTATAAAATTAAATAGGGTAAGTGTACCAATTGCCGAGGGTGTCCCATTTGTCGATGTTACCATGGTAATAACCAAAAAATATTGTCTAAAATATCTCATTTGCTTGTGGACATAATATTAATATATATTTTTCACATTCATAACGCATGAGAAAATTAATATTTATCACTTTTTTCCATTAACAATGTGCTACAATGTTTAAATAAAATTCAAAGTTTGTTTACTCGACAACAGGAACCATCCTCGACAATTGGTACGTTTACACTAGATAAGTTTTTGTTTTGTATTCTCAAAAATAAACAATACTTTGTAAAAATAAGTCTCGTTTTATCATATTTTCCAGTGATGTTGTGAACTCTGACCTGAGTTCTATTACACACTTTTCTGGACCTCTTAGCGTTTACTAGACATGAAGTCTCCAAATCGTAATATGTTACATATACTCTATTGAAAGCGCTTCCCCGTCACGTATGTAGAAGAAGTCAGAGCTGAGTCGCACATCTTTCGAAAATGTGCTACTACATGATCTTTTCTTTTTCAGAGTATGGTTAAAAAGAAAATAGTTATTTTACTTGTAATTTGTATTATAATATATAATCATTAAGAAAGTAGCGTAAATAAAATATCGCATCAGTAGAATTACATGTTTTACGAGGTTAGTCTAGAATTTACTTAATAATTACAGTCATCGTACGTTACTTTGAACTCTAGGAAAGAGATCTAATTTATATTCTAAAAGAACCTATTCATTAAAGAATTAAGACGCTGTCTGACACTCTTGCCCAATGAGGAAAACTGAAATACTAAATCTGCACAAGGATGATTTTTGACCCATTTTTGACAATTATTTTCAAAATTTTTTGAATTTAACTTAGAATTTTAATTTCTTACTTTGAGTTTCACAGAGAAAAGGTTAGTTTTACAGCTATGAAAATTTAATAAGAAAGCATGTAAATAATTTAGACAATACAAATTTTCTGATTGATACCTATCAAACAAATATATATTTGCTCAAAATGAGTTAATTTATTTGTAAAAATAGATTATTATGTAAACATACCAAAAGTAAAAGATAACAATTGATATTGAAATATGTGCTTATTTTACTTTTAAAATATCGACATCGTATATCGATCGCTGTGACGATCTTGAGTTCGACTCTACAGGTCGTATTATCTTAATGCGTAGCGTGACTGAGACAGTCATCGTATTTTCCTTGTGTTATTTTTGATTAATAAACCTTATTTCAAGTTGACTTTTATTCGTTTTAATCAATAATTGATTTGAAAACTTACCTACGAAATGTCAAAAAACACCACATCATAAATACATTTTTCTAAGAAGTTTATAAATATTAAAAAACCTTTTTACTACTTAATATTAAGTACCTTCAATATACTTTCATATTATGTGCTGACTTTTTAGTTTTATAATATAGAAATGTGAAAAATTTTACCTTTAATAACCTTAGAACATAAGATGTCTTTTGGATGTCTTTCGAACAGACATGGACGTCCTAAAGACATCCCATTGCCTTTTGGGCAATAGGACATGTGGGTCCTATTGCCCACAGGGATCTTCTCAGGTCCAATATGAAAAAATCCAATCTTGGTCTTAACCCTTAACCTCCTTACGGTTAACCCCGAGTACACTCGGGGTGTATCTTTCATTTATTTATGTAAAAAATTAAATTCGAGAGTCATATAAATAACATTCTTAGTGTAACTTGAAGCTAAATAGTTGTATTTAATATCAAAATAAATATGAAACAGTCAAAATTAATTTTAACAAAATTATAAATTTATTTCCTGCAAAATTGAAAAATGATAAAACCGTAGGAGGGTTAAAGAACACTGAGTGCAGATCGCCCAGGTGTTTTTTTTCAAATGCGTTCCATTCTTAAAAGCATGTCATTGTTTATTGTTAAATATTTTTTAACAAATTAATTTTAATCAATAAAATTTTTTCAATAAATATTTTTCATATTCATCAGAACTTTTCCTATCGATTAAAAAAAATCGACTGAATTTCATCAATTTGAGACAAAGATATAAGGTTTCAAAGTATTGCAGGGTACAAATCGCCCATGTGTGTATCGAATGTAAGTTTTTGATTTATTAAATTTTGGTGATGGAGAACCAGTTTTTTTAGTTTTATTCCGGTTTAAAAAATGTGCTTCCAAAAACGAATTTGTTATAGTTAAAATGCAAGCAGTTTTTTGCAACACTATGTAGAAAGCACCTGAGGAGATAAAAGTGATTAAAATCACCAAAACTCATAAAAGACTCAATATTAAAAGTAAAATTTTTTATATTTATATATTGTAAAACTAAAAAGTCAGCACAAGTACTTAATATTAAGTTGTAATACTTTTTTTAATATTTATAAACTTTTTAGAAAAATGTAATTAAAATGTGATGATATTTGACATTTCATATGTAAGTTTTAAAATGAATTTTTATCTATTATTTTGGGTATATTTACATTTTAATTAAATTAATTAGTAAATTAGCTCATTTTTAACAAATATAAGTTTAAAAAATTGTATTATCTACATTATTTTCACGTTTTTAGGGTTCCGTACACCTACGGTGTATCGGCGGAACCCTATTGGTGAGACTCTATTGTCCGTAGCCAAATCGTGTCCCCCCCCTAGCGGCTAAACTATTTGACCTAAAGAGCTCAAATTTGGTCCAGATATGTATTTTCACTCGTAGATTACAGGAAAAATATAGCGAATGTGATTGGAGGTGATGGCCATAGCGTTGTCAAGGAAATAACAAGATTTTTGGCCAAAAATGCATAAAAAGTGACCATTCCCCCCCCTTAACTTCTAAACTATTCGACATGGAGAGCTGAAATTTTGCATGCTGGTGTATTTTTACTCGAATATTACAGGAAAAATATAGAGAACTTGATATGTAATGATGGCCATAGCGTTGTCAAGGAAAAACTAAAAAATTTTTTAAAAAAAATTGCTTTCCCTAACTTTTACATTATTTGACCTAATGAGCTAGAAATTGGTATCCTGGTGTATTATTACAGTCTGACGACAAAAAATTTATTTAAGAAACTTTTTAAAAAAAAATTTTTTTTTAAATTTTTTTTTAATTTTTTTAGTTTAAACACGTGGCATTAAATATGTTAAGGAAGAGTGAAATTTTAAGAGAATAAATGAGAGATTGTTTTCTGACTTTAATTTCTTAATTAAAAATAAAAAAAATTGGACAAGTGCGAGTTGCACTCGCACTGCAATGGCGGGTTCCGTACACAAATATTAAAACAATACTTGCAACATTTATCGGTAATTAGTAGAATTAAAATAAACAATTAAAAAAATATATTAAAATCATTTGATAAGAGGAAATAACTAAAAAAAATTAAAGTATTGTATATATCTAATATTGTAAACAATAATAAGCAGAGGAACAAAATTTTCAAAATTATAGTTCCTCTGCTTATTATTGTTTACAATATTAGATATATACAATACTTTAATTTTTTTAGTTATTCTTTTTTATCAAATGATTTTAATATATTTTTTTAATTGTTTATTTTAATTCTACCAATTACCGATAAATGTTGCAAGTATTGTTTTAATATTTGTGTACGGAACCCGCCATTGCAGTGCGAGTGCAACTCACACTTGTCCAATTTTTTTAAAAGTGTTTTTATTCTTTGTAAAATATTAATTTTGTGTCGAATAAGAATAATAATTTTTTGCATTATTGGGTTAGTCCTGATTTGTAAAAATTGAATTTTTTTAAAATAACCTAAAGAAAACCAATTATATTGATACCAGTTATACTGTTAAATAAAATCAGTTCGAAGCATCCTTTCGTTTACTGTTATTTTTTATTCCTTTAATATTTAGGAATGTAAATAAATTACAGTTAAAAATTACATGAAATTATTTCACGTTTTTGAAAGTAATGAAATGGTTGTACCTAACAGGGAAGGGAAAGGCAAAGGTCTTCATTTTTCGAACATTTAAATACTTTTTTTGTTAAATTAGTAAATATTTAAAATATATTAAATGTGCAAATTAACATTTATTTCCTTATTCAATAATAACTCCAATATTGGCGCCTCTTCACACCTGCCGGACAGCTTCCCGCTGGGCGGAGCGCTTGCATTGTAAGCTTTAGGAATTTTTTTCTCAAAAACAAAAAATAACGCCAAGCTAAAAATTTTAAGAAAGTTTTATTATATTATCAACTTTATTCATGATTTTTTTCAGACCTGAGAAACAGGGAGAAAGGGTTTAAATACTAAAAACAAATTTTATTGTTTAAACAAATTAACCTAAAATTCATAATTTTTATTATTAATAATATTTTTCTGAAAGTTTAGTATTTTGAGCACAAAAAATGTTTAAAACAATTTTTTGTAACTCAAAGCAAGAAAAAGTTATTTTCAAAATAAAAAAATGTTACAAAAATTTTTTAATGCAAATATCTAGAAAAATAAAAATAATTTTTTATTGTTACTTAGTGTACTTCATTAGGACCCTAATCACTCTCAATTCTGATAATATAAGAAAAATCTGAGATATCATATGCCGTTTTCATATGAAACGCCCCATATATTAATTAAAAATCAATATATTCAATACTCACTTCCTGTGTAAAGGGTAGTTCCTAAGAAAATTTAGGGAGTTGAAATAAACCCATGAACTTTCATAATTGGAAGATTCGTATGAACCAGAAGGTACGTATTTTTCGACTTTCCGTCTCTCTGCCTCATATTCACCTTTCAATTTTAACCACGCATTCTGCACTTTCTCTACTGTAATAAAATATTCTAAATTTAAAATTTACTGAAAAGCATCTATAACAGAATATTATTAAATTTGTTTTAATTTTATTTGAATTAAAAAAAATAAAAAATTTGAAAATTGATAAAACAGATATATAAAAAAACTTTTTTAAAAAATAAAATAAAAAGTTATCAATTACCACTTGTTTCTTCATTTGTGATGAGGGCAATTTGGGT